CTTGTGAAGCAGGTCTTATTATCTCTATTTTATGCAAGTGGAGAAGTAGGCTGCAGCTTAGAGAGGTTCTCACTTGGGTCCTCTAAGCATGGTCCTCTCCCCACAGAAGCAGCATCTTTTGGGATCTATGAATCATGTACATTCCCAGGCCTATCTCAGACTTATGGAATCAGAAACTCTGGGGTGGGGCCAGCAATTTGTGTTTTCACAAGCCCTCCCAGTGTGATCCAATTGCAGGATCAAGTGCAAGAAATCCTCTCTCAGCCATGGGTGCGTTGCCCAGGAATTTGTTAGATTTTTAAAAAGTAAACAAAAACCAAGAAAACGCCAACACACTGATGTTCTGTAGTACATTTAGTCTTTCCCCGAAATCCTCCCCAACTCCTCACTTTGATCTAGAAGAAGCTACTTTTATCATAAAAGCAGAACTAATCACAGGCCATGGTTGTTTACCGATGAACACATTTGGTCTTTTGTAGATTACCTCTCAGAGGAGAAGAGGTTTAAAGAATCCCCTCTGTTTGACGGGGATTTAAGAGAGCCGTTAACTACTGCAGACAGAGAAACACTTCAAGGAGCAGCTAAACCAGGTTGGAATCTATAGCATGAACTAAATATGATGCTCAAATACAGACAGCTTCAGAATGTGTCTTTTGCCTTTTGTGGTATTTTAACTGACACCTTTAATTCACCCGCAAAAGCATACAATGTGTATTTAAGGTTTGTGAATGAAACCAACTCCAGAGGATGGGCGGGGTGGCTCACATCTTTAATCCCAGCCCTTTGGGAGGTGGAGGCTGGCGGATCCCCTGAGGCCAGGAGTTCGAGATCAGCCTAGCCAACATGGCAAAACCCTATTTCTACTAAAAACACAACAAGAAATTCACTGGGCCTGGTGGCAGGCACCTGCAATCTCAGCTACTCAGGAGGCTAAGGCAGGAGAATCTCTTGCACCCAGGAGGCGGAGGCTGCAGTGAGCAGAGATTGTGCCATTGCACTCCAGCCTGGGCAACAAGAGCGAGGCTCCATCTGAAAAAACAAAACAAAACAAGAACTACAAAGGCCCCAACTCCAGAAATTTCACCACCTTTCAAAAAGATGCTAATTTTATATTGTGTCTGCACAGCCAGGGTCCTTTGTAACATGGATGTGATATTCTGAGTCCCAGCCAGTCCCGGACTGAGGCTTTCTGACAACCAGGAGGGATAAAATGCCACCTGCAGGCCTAGTTCCAGATGAGCTTCACCCTTGCTCATCCCTGAGCCCAGACCTGTTCAGAGTGGCAGAAACTCACCCATGCTGGCACCAAGCACAGTGCAGCCCTCCACACAGCCCCTCCCTGTCAAAATTATACCCGGCTGTCACTTACTAACGCTTAGAAACAATAAATGCGGAATTATTCCAACAAGACTTCAGAGCTGCTGGATGAGCTGCCTCTTGGCATAGCATAGCTGAAGGTGGGAGGCTGCACAAGCCCTGTTTTCTCCCCATCACCCAAGAAGGTCATGGCTCGGCTCTCCCGTCTACATCACCGGCTGCCCTGGACAGCTCTCCACACGAAGCCAGCTGCTACCGGGAATCGTACCTCCACTTCCGATCTCCCTGAAGTCTTTTTCTTTTTTGGTCACGTTATAAATGGGGTGACAGACGCTCTGGGAGACCCTGATGTCCACTGGGTCTCCATCCTTTGAGATCTGGCTTAGACTGCCTAGTTTTCCTGAGCCGGTGCTCAGCGGTATTCTCATCCACTCTCACAGTCTCTGTGAGTCCTCATAGGGGCTCTGGAACTGGGGATCATCTCTGGTGTTATGTTTGCCGCGTGCTGGTGCCGATGTGAAATACCCCAAACCTACACACATGAGGCAAGTTGTGTACACAGGAGAATTTCCTGAAGCCAGGGGCAGAGGAGGGGCAGCAGAGATGCGGTTCCATCCCTGCCCTGTGAAAAGCTGCATACTGAATGTTGGCCTCCATTTTTCTGAAAAGCCTTTGCAGCAGGATTTCTCAGCCTTCTCCAGTGCCCCTGCCTCCCCTCACCCCATCTGAGCTGTCCTCCGCTCTTCTCTTTACCTACATACTGCTCTGTGGAGCTTGCTTCCTGGTTGCTTTGCTGTGTGCCAGCCCAGACCCTCAGCGTCTCATCGCCACGCCGCAAAATGTCTCATCTTATCACCAGATAGCAGAGAAACGCATTTCCCCAAACAACCAGTTCCTTCTCGAGAGGACTTCTGGAAGCAGTGGCTAAGATGCCAAAGTTTTTATTCTGTTGTGAACGGAATGAACAGGTGTCTCTGGCAGGTTTAGTCCTGGTTGTGGGTAGCCCAGCAGGGATCTCTGTTCACTTTGTACTGTGTCTTCTTGTTTAGATGCTCACTTTAGGACGATGCCCTGCAGGCAGCTCCTGCACTTCCTGCAGAAGAACACCATCATTGCCGCAGTCTCAGGGGTGGCTGTCCTCACAGCTGCCGTGCTGTTGCTGCTCGGGTTGGCCTCATACATCAGGAGGAAACAGCCATCGTGAGTGGTGCTGCCTTGGCCTTCATTCCAAGAACCCGCCGGTGTTTGAACTCACGCTGCCCCCAGGGCTTCCTGCTGATCCGGATTTAGGAGGAGGGCAGGAACTGCAAGCCTGGTTGTGCTTCAGCATCCCCTGGCCTGCTCTGTAAAGCACACAGGACCCGGCCATGGGTTTTAAGCGCAGCCTAGGTGACTCTGATGCACAGCTGGGTTTGGGGATCCCTGGGCGGGCCAGGGCTGCCTCTCAAGGCCACGCCTATTAGGCCAGTCTTGTCTCCATATTGAGGACTCCGGCTGAAAGGTTGGTAAATAGGAATATAGATTTAGAAAGAAAAGGAAAAACACAAATCTGAAGGGCCTGGAGGGCTGAAGCCATGAAGGCGAGTGAGAGCAGGGCTGATATTCAGCTCATCCACCTTGGCACAGCCGCCCTACTTGCTAGAATACTGAAAGATTTCCTCAAGCTGCCCACTCACTTCCTGATCTTCTCTGGGATCCTGCAAATGACAGGTTAGTGCCTGGCACAACTGTGGCCCTCCAGGGCTCTGCTTCAGTGGCGGTCATTTTGACTGGTCAGTGCCTGTCTACGCCAGTTAAGTATTTTGGTTAGGCCTCTAGATGAGGGGGCTCAGGCACAGAGGCATTCACCATGAGCAGGCACCAGAGAGCAAATGGTTTGCATGACGATGTGTATGCAGAATTGCATTTTGAAATTACTGCTTCTTGCCACATCCCCAGGGTCATGTATTCCTGACCACAGAAGGAAGGGCAGCTCCCCACAGCCCCTCTGGTCCTGCCCGGCACTGCACTGAGTGCTCAGCTTGCCCCTAGAGCAATGGGCTAGAGGCGTGTGATGAGGGGGACTGTCCATCCCCACCCCTACCCACCCTCTGACTTCAGAAGTAGCAGTGTTTAAATTTCCCCACAAGAGTGCCATTGCTTTCCCTCCATGCCAAGGCTCCTGGGACTGGTGACCCATTCAAGCCACCTCCCCCAACCCCTACCTCCAGCATCCTCTTCCTACTAAGGCTGCATCATTGGACCTACCATTTTCCCTCCACGCCCCTTGAGATATCAGCAGAGTGGTCAGAACTGTGACCCCTTCCCATGGGGACCAGTCAAAGCTGTGGGTGGCCTGAGTTACTTAAGAGAAACTGTGGGGAAGAGAGTTTCCCAGAGGCTCTGTGCTGCCCAGAGGCAAAAAGAATTTCACAGATGACAACCCTTACTGATGGGCAGCAGAGTCCTCACCCTCAGAAACGCTGGCCTCCACCCTTCCCAGCCAGTAGGCGGCAGGAGCTCCCGCACGCTGAGCTGAGCAGTATGGTTTCTTTGCTTTGTTTCAGATCTCCTCTGGCAAAGACGACATACAATATTTTTATAATGAATGGAAAGGCATGGTGGCAAAATTCTGAAGAAAAGAATTTCACAAAATATGCAAAAAAACAGACACAGTTGAAGTGCAGTTCCTGTGTCTAAGCCAGGTCGCGGGGCCGTCAAGCCAGCACTTGAAACCACGATGCGAGGACGTTCTCCATGTGCACACCACAGGGAAGCAAGTCCACTTCTGCCTGGGAGATGCATTCTACTAAAGCGTCTGCTTCCCGTCCCGATCTCGAATGGACCGAGAAAAACTGCTTTACTACAGGACACTTGTGGCAAAATGGCACCGATGGCCGGCACCAGCGAACCCGACGGACGATGGACTTATCATCTAATAAAGCGTTGATTCATGTATTCAGTTGTTCACTGAACAGATATGAATAGACCACCTCACATGTTGACAATATCAAAATACGACGAGGAAACTAAGAAGTGATCCAGGTGTGCATTCTGCCCTGAGGAAGATCACAGTCTAGGGTGTGAACACAACCATACTAACTAGCTTTTATGGGAGGTGGGAATATGGAAAGTATTATATCTGCAAAGAAACTGATAAGAATTGTGGGAGCTCCCCGGACGTGATTTTCCACTTGCATGAGCGGGAAAAACAATGGGTAATTGACAGTGTCATGAAGTGGGGTTATTTATAAAGCTGTGATCAGGGTTAAGGGAAACCGATGAAGTATGTCGGGGCACCCTGGAGTGAGCGGGAGTGGGAGCTGATACCATCAGGGGAGGGGCAGGCACGCAAATCTGGAGAGCTCAGAGCCTCTGACTGGTTGTAACCTTTGGTGGAGGAACAGGAACACCCTGGAACCACCGCACAGGGAGATATCGGGGTGATAACATCCTGAACGCCTGCCCCTGACACCCTTCAATCTCCTACAAGTGGCTTCCATTGGCCACTTACCAGGGTGACTTTCCTCAGTGCACAGGTCCCTGGGGAAGGCTGAGAGAAAGATTAACAGTGTACATTTTTGACAGCGTAGTAGGGCTCTTCCTCAAGGAGATCCAACCTCCATCATTCAATGGTTTTGGGCTATGTAAACCAGCTCATGTCTGGGAAATAATTGAGGGAGTGTTACTCTCTATTTTGGTAATTCAAGTTAGACTTCTAATCATACAACACAGAACTCCTCTACTTGCACAGATCAAGTAGGAATTTAGTAGATTGCTTATCTATTTATTTTCTAGGGATATCATGATCAACTAGCCAGTGTCAAAGGTCCCTGAGAGTCTGATATTCTGGTCAATGTTTTGACACCACTGTTCCTAATGGCAACCATATCCACCTCGCCTTTGACAAGAAGTATGGCCACTTAGACCTCACCATCCTGGGATCCAACTATCTCCATTGCATTTTGAGATCCCAGTTTGATGGTAGCAGTTCCCATAGTCATTTCTGACCTACAGAAAAGAACGACTACAGAGCTCTCAAGGATTCTGGAGCCCTTCTCACAAATGTATTTCTTATAGTCATGATAAAAGCTGTATCTTCTGGACCCTTCCAGGGTGGGTGAGCAGGTCTCCCATGATAATGCACACTAATATTTCAGACTCCTTAAGCCTTTGGGTCCGTTCCTCCACAGTATAAGAAGACAGTTCCGGCATTTCAACTTCATTTACTGTAGGTTATCTTTGGACCCATGTTTTAACTAGCCAACCAAATGGAGCCCTTTCTAACCCCTCAAACAAAACACTGATCCAGAAACTCTGCTCTGTGGGCTCATACCAATAAATTCCGCCCCATACAACCCTGCGTTCCTTCCATCGTTATCTCAACCCTCTATCTATGTCTATGCACATTCCTCACATTTACATCTGTGTATGTTAGAAGAATGCAATTCTTTCAGTGTGTAGTGTACCTTTTGTTGTTTGGGTCACTTTGTTCCTCACTCTTTGGGACCTGCTGGAACTTGAGTGTAGTTATGGGTCTAGAAACAAAAAGGAGTGGTAGAGAACTGGTGGGGTCTTGCTACAGGACCTTAGGCGAGGCCATTACAGGGTTCTACAGAAAAATCAGGGTTAACCTACTCAGACCGGGTGGAAAGGCTACCTCTATCGGCAAACAAGACACAGCAGAATTTAGGGATTTGATACCTCCAGCTTCACTGGGATGTTCCCATATGTCCCCATTCTAGTTTTTAGGATCTCATTTCTCTACATTCAGTTATCTTACTTTAACACAAGGCCAGTCTGCAAGTGCACTGCCATTCAGTCACGTTGGGTTTGGTTTCCAGAAATCTCAGCCCTGCAGCTACAGGAGATAAGGATTTCTTTCAGGACAGACATAAAAGTGTTTTTTTTTTTTTNCCGTCTCCAAAAAAAAAAAAAAAAAAAAAAAAAAAACAGGATAGGGCTGGGCGCAGTGGCTCACATGTGTAATCCCAGCACTTTGGGAAGCCGAGGTGGGCAGATCACAAAGTCATGAGTTCAAGACCACTCTGGCCAACATGGCGAAACTCCATCTCTACTAAAAATACAAAATTAGCCAGGTGTGGTGGTGCACACCTGTAGTCCCAGCTACTTGTGAGGCTGAGGTAGGAGAATTGCTTGAACCCGGGAGGTGGAGGTTGCAGTGATCTGAGATCATGCCACTGCACTCCAGCCTGGGTGACAAGAGGGAAACTCTGTCAAAAGAAAAACAAAAAACAAAAAACAAAACCCGGGATAAGTGTGGCCTTCTCATTTTTCTTGGCACCTAATACTATTACTGCAGCAGGTACCGCACTAGATTATTTATGTAATAGACTATATGACCCATGTATATAATAATTACTATAATAACTTACTTCAGTGACTTCTTCCCTGGATAGGTCATAAGCCCCTTGCAGACAGGAATCTGTGTGCCAGCATTTGCTAACTTTTTTTTTTTTTTTAGAGACAGGGTCTCTCTCTGTCTCCCAGACTGGAGTGGAGCAGCGTAATCAGTTCACTGCAGCCTTGAACTCCTGGGCTCAAGGGATCTTCCCACCTCAGTCTCCCAAATAGCGGGGACTACAGGCATGTGCTACTGTGCCTGGTTTATGTATGGCCAAATGCTTTCAATCAGTGCTTGCATTGAGTTGAATCCAATCTTTACTCCTTGACTTTGTAAGAATGGATTCAGTCAGTCAGTTACTTAGTTAATATTTCTGAGTACCACTAGGTCTTCACATGAGTTGGTCTAGGCACATGTAGGTATTAGACGAATAAGACTCAATCTAATCTAAGAGACTACATGTGCATGCTAAGACCAGTAATCGATTATGGGTACATGGGAAAAGGACCGATTAATTCTGATAGTAACTGCAATCAGCGAGCTCATTGAGGTCTTCGAAGGATGAATTGAGTTTCAATAATTGAGAGAGAGGGAAGGGCATTTCCTGCTGATATATATGTATATTATCTATCTATCTATCTATCTATGTATCTATCATCTATCAATCAATCATCTATCATCATCTATCTCTCTGGATGTCTTTTTTTTTTTGAGATGG